AATTCGATCCTGTTGCCAAACGGTTAAGTAGAAAAATATAGGAATCAACCAGGTAATCTACGGATACATATACACAAAGAAAATTTGTGGACATAAACTAATTGAAAAACTGCCTAGGGGAGAAAACAATCCGAAAATTTGAAGAAATTTGAGAACAATGAAATTGAATCGTGTTACCCATGGTTAATCTAAGTGTGGTGGTGTAACTTAAATATTTTTGTCATGTTTGGTTTCATAAAATTATATAGAAAAACACTATAAGCTGCGAATGCTTCTTCACTTTTTTCTATTTCACATTAAATTCTCTATGCAATAAAATAGGTTGAAATAGTTCCATTTTTTTATATGTGTCGATCAGATTATTTAAGAAATTCGAAAAATCATTTGTTAATTTATTGATTTGTGTTGAAGCAATAACGATGTATCTTCCCAGATGATAATAATAATGTTATTGTCTATTACATTATTTTGAACAGTATGGTAATATGAATAGATTCTTTTCGACAAGAGAAAATACACGACTCGTTACAGGATAAGTGACAAAATAGACAATCTCATATGCATATAGCCTCTTAACTTGAACAGTTCTCTTTTTCTGTTTAGTTCATTTCTGTTCTGTTAGAAATCAGCAAATGAGAAATTCAAAAATCGGGCTCTATCAACTCCTAGGCATAGGTGTTTACTGCAAAACAAAGCCAGCCCGAGCTCTCTGTCATTTACCTGGAGTGAGAATTCTTGTGAATGGCGGACGCCTATTTTTGACTCCTGTTAAGGAGGGTGTCCCCCATCCGTTTTTTCCAGCAGTTTGTGGAGGACATTTCGGAGTAAAAAAAAAGCAGATGGACTATAGGTAATCGATCATGCTGAGTCTTGTGGCGATATTTGCTTTTACAAAAAGTTCTAAAAATCTAGCGAAAAGGGAGTTTTACTAAAATTGCGATTTTCTGGCTGTTTTTTACCCAACATTAAAAATTTCACTACTCACCCAAAATACATCAGAACGAGTTCAAAACTTCAGTATGTAAAGCAAATATCGCCACAAGACTCAGCATGATCGATTACCTACAGTCCATCTCCTCTGAAGACTACCAATAGTCATCAGCTGCCAGTCATGAGACTCGTAAAAAATCTAGCTCGCGCTTGACTCCCATTTTCAAGAGTACATCCCGGGCTATCGGCCCATGAAAAAAATCAACATAATCCTATTGGAAAAGTTTTACACACGTCGTAATTTTCCAAAAATCTCGTAAAAAGTCTGTTTCAGAAAACTCTTCTGAAAATAATTCTGTTGATGGAAACATGTCTCCAAGTTTTCTCTTTTATATGGTGAAAACCAAAGCTCTCTAGCTGCTTTCTGTCAAAAGTTATTCAAAAAATATCCACTGCTCTTGTATTTTGAAACGGATAGTAACTGGAATCAGTAAATCATTTCAATGAGAAATTGAAAGAAGATAGACAATTCTTGTGGTATTATTCAGGGATATAGGTCTCTGGAGGATTCATCACCTCGCTGCTTTTTTTTTATTTTCAGCAGTTAGATGGTTTTCCTAAAAAATAATACTGCGCAGCGAAAAAAAGTTCTTTTAGATCCTCTCTCCTAAGAAGCTTTTAAAAAGACTTCTGAAAAAATTTACGAAAAATTATTCGCGCTACGAGTTTGAAAGTGGTATTACGCTTCTGATACTGTTTTTCTGTACGTCGAGAAGGCGGTTATATATATAGGTACTTCTACTGAAATTTCAATAATTGCGATAAACGCATAAAATTTATTTTATAGTTTTATTCATTAATTTATCGTCCGATGATCAGTTCTGTTCTCAATCACCTCTTCAGATTTAAACGCTTTTTTGTTGATCAAAGCTTATTCGTGTTATGGATAGCATTAGCCCCTTCCTCTACACTAACTTTTACATGAAAAATATAATACGGTATTCTTGATCGTTTAATTTTCATTTGTGAGACCTTTAACATAAGATTTTTTATTTCTTTCATACATTCAATCAACGACGATTTCCACTGAGTTGGCCAAGAAAATAGAACCTAAAAACAGGTGAGTCCGGAAAGAACCAAAATGGAGTTCAGATATAAAAATTCTCAGTGTAAATAGTGAGCATGCAAAGACTGATAAGGAGACATATTTTGTGAACTATTTTTATCACCGTAAAACTTTATGCAGATTTGGTTGAATCTGCTTGAAGAGTAGCATTTTACTGTTGTTTAACCCTTTATGTTCGATCACTGCTAGAAAAAAGTAACGCAACGCTAAATCAAAACTTTTTCAATCGGATTCTTTTTCCAGCGTAAGCTAATACTCCATAAGCTAACAGATGCTAATAACAAAAAGTTTTCATCGAGTCTAAACAAAGGTATACACGTTTCAAGTCTGATTTGTATGATTAGTTGCCGGGCGTAAGGGTTAACACTGTCTCGAAATAGCATAACAACACTATCTAACAACTAAACATTACATTTTCTTGTAGGGAAGTCCTCACCTGATTTCATGATATTCAGCAACTTTATGCGAGTAAAAAGTGGTAAATGATTGTCGTAAAAGTAAATAAAATTTACACAAAGTCTTTCACCTTAAGCAAAATTGAACGCCTTTGAACCTTATATACTGTTACATATTTCAAAACAAAAATACGCATGTAATGTTCGCTAACCTTCTTTTGCTTGAAAAGCACTTACTTTGTTTTCTGGTCTTCTTGTATCTTTTATTATCCTTAAGTCAGCTTTATGTGACTGATAGAGACAAAACGTAAACTCTGTGCTATAACGCTGTACCAGTTATTAACCGTTATCTAACATTATTACATGAAAATCTTTCACAGTGTTTTTCCGTGGAGTGAAGGTCTGCAAAATTGCTTTGAAGTTAGAAGAAAACATGCAGAGTTTTGTATGAGATTTGATAGACAAACATAGAGAACATGTCTCGACAGATATTGGAACTATGTTTGATAAAAGCCGAATTGGTCAAGACAGTGTGGCCAAGAGGTCTTAGGCATCGGTTCGAAAGGGCGTGAGTTTGAATCGCACTGCTGTCACTTCTTTTCTTTCTTATTATTTGAACCTTTTCCCTCTTTCTTTGATCGCTGACGGTTATACACAATCTATACGAATTAATCATAGACTAAGTCGTTTTCCAGAAAACAGAATGCTAAAGAAGTCTACGGGAGCAAGAATTTCATACTGTTCAGGAGCTTTTTATGAAAGTTCTAACAGACCTGAGTAATGCTGAGGTGCTTTTAGGAACTGAATCAAATATTAATGCTACAGGGAAGAAGAGTAATGCTTTCACAACGTAGAATCTTCTATGACGATAGATTCGTAGACCAGTTGTGACGGGACACAATTTTCAGGTGTTTCTATTCATTAGTAACAACAGAATACAAACGAACGTTACTGTAGATAGAAGACAAGCAGTACACACCATATTCCAACGAAAAAAAATACTAATCATCGCCAATCAATCAAAATCATATGGATTTTAACAGTTTATGGAAATATTGTATTAAAGTATTTCGCAAGAATCAATAAAATATAGCGTAGCGGTACAATGGGTGCTTTGTTGTACAAAAGGGTGAAACCTGTGAATATTTAAAAGTCAACTCTGAACAAAAAAGTTTTAAAAACAGAGAGCTAAGAATGAAATGTGAGAAACATTAAAAAAATGGCTAGTTCTCGTCAACCTACGCTCTGCTCGTGAAATGGATCTACCTGGTTTGGGTATTACCCTAGGATATGTCGATTATCATAAGGTTAAGCTATCATTTCTGTATAAATACGCAAGTTTAGAGATGTTATTAGGTGACTTGAGCAACCTCAGTGTCCAGGAAAATAGAAGATAAATCAAGAACAAAAACTTAAAAGAATTCCTTACTCTTTACTGAGAGCAATCCCTTATGATAATCAAAACATAAAAAAAAAAAAAAAAAAATGACGCTCGTTCATAATCGAACTGTACATACATACTCATATAGTACCACGAGTACGAGAGAGAGTCATTTTCCGGTAGTACCAGCCGGCTAGCGATTGATCATATGCATTCCATTTTTTTCTCTGTCTAAGTAAAAAACTATTTACTATGCTGCATAAGGAAAGATTACTTGAACTATGTTTAGTATTTTGCTAAATAATGATGTGGCGGAAAAATATAAAGTAAGAAAACTATACTGTTTTTGAAATAACGTTCAATAGGAAAGAGATGGGACTCTCAGTTCCCCCATCCTACAGAGAACAGTTAAAAGCATAGGTCGATGGAAAAACTGAGTTTAAGTTTTCAGCTTACTATGATGTATCCCATTAACACAAAACTATGGGGTTGTCAGAACACAGAAAAAGAATGGATTTTGAACTTCGGTAAGTATGTTCAAACGACCGGATTGCTCTCTACGTTTCTATACAAGTCACAAATATTCATCTAACATGGTTCAGACGCGGTATGATTTCTCCAAAGGCCCTGTGTCTATAAAATTTTAGGCTTGGGAATCTCAGAAATGTATAGGTACATAGGCTGTCCATCTCGTTGATTCTCGCGGCCATGCCTGTTTTTTTGAAGAAAGTCCAAATCCAGTGAAAACCTACTTAGATGAGATCACTACAGCTTTACAAATCCTAAGTAGAACATTAGATTGAGCAGATAAAATTAGGTATGTTTTCGTTGTCTGAAGCAGTTCGGATAGATTTGACTAAATCTTTTACTATTCTGTCAAAATAGCCCATATTGGATTGTTTCATGTTGGTTTTCACTGGGTTTTTGAATTTTCTACGAAGAACAAGCACGACCACAAGAATCAACGAGATGGACAGTCTATGTATCTATACATTTCTGAGATTCCTAAGGCTAAAATTTTAGAGACATGGTGTCCTTGGAGAAATCATACCGCGTCTGAACATATTAGATGAAGATTGGGACTTGTCTAGAATGTATAGAAGAGACACGTGTGATATCAACAATGGCTAGCTGGCTGGCTTTATCAGAAAATGACGTATGATTTCGTTTAATCACTTGCTTGTTTTGGTGAACGCTCTATCGTTGAAATTAACTCTTCCTGCGATAGTTGTGCGTCTTTTCTTGCTAAATCTTGCTTTTGTCGCTTAAATTGTCTTTCTGTTCTTTCACATTCATGTTGACGTTTTTTGATGTATTTTAAACGTTTATTTAAATCTTCACCCATGGCTTGTATTTCTTTTCTTCCTTCACGTAGATGCATATTTCGTAAAGCATGCTGACCTGGTTTTGTATACTCTTTTGCTTTACGTTCGTGATAATCCAGTTTTTCTTGACATTTTGTCATCATTAGTTCCGTTAATTGTAGTTCAATATCATTCGTAATTTTTGTTATTGATTGTAGTTTTGGATGAATATTTTCCCGTGGTTTGTAATAGGTTGGATTATCACACATAAGATGAATAGCTATTACTTGCTGAAGTAATTGTAATTCATTAACAAATAACCGTTGATCTTGTAATAAGCGCAAGATCATAATAACGGTAATTTTTTTATCTTGATTCTTGCGGACATATTCTAGACACTCGATCGTGTTATCAAATTTTTTATCGTAAACTAGAAATAAAGAAAATGGCTTTTAAAAAAACGACTAATTTTCTCTAAACTATTAGAACATACTCAATTTTCATGTGCTCAACGTGGTGTTTATCGAAAGTGTTGTTGAAACTTTTAGCAAGACAGTTTTCTCCGAAACTTCATAAATAACTTCTTTCACTTTTTAAGTTACGACGGGGCATCTTCAGGTGACAAATCAGTTTTAAAATAAGCTTTGTCTCAGTAAGTAAGATGCACTAAGACTAGGAAAAGCCCAAAAGGATTCTAGCCTAGGCCTATCTTCTCGAGTTACGGCCTTTCTACTGGATTTTCAGTTCGTAGTAACAGATCTCAATTTTTACCCTCTAAAGTGCGGACAAGGAATTTTGTAAGCCTATCTAGTTTTTCGTATTAGGGCTGAAGCCGTTGTATGTACGTCATTAGATTCGCTGAAAGCCCAGCTTTAAAAGTACCACTCGTTTTTCTTGAAATTTTGTTTTGTTGCTGAGAAAACTCATTTTTTCTAAATCATACGCCAAAAAGGTCAGAATTTTGTCTGTAATTCTCAATTTCTCCACCAGAACTCAGCTTTTATTCAATCAAAATATCATATTCGGAATCAGGATCGAAAACTGACTCAACTAATGTGTATTTCGAAACTTTTGGTTGATTTACAACTGTATATGCACATTCATGATGATAGAAATACGGAACGAATGAAAAACAATTAAAAAACCAACGTGTGTGAGTTATTCTGGGACTTTATTCAGAAAGTGAATAACTGAGGAAAACATCCAACCAATTTTTAAGTTTTTCCTACAGATTTACAAAATATCAGCATTCTAAGGTGCCCGCACAATGCAAAACTAAAGCAAAATTTTATTTTTGAACTTATTGTACATTATTGGATTTCGAGCTGATTAAGTTAGTCTGCTTTTTAATTTTTAATTCACTTTTTTTAAATTTTGTTTTGTTGCTGAGAAAACTCATTTTTCTAAATCATACGCCAAAAAAGTTAGAATTTTGTCTGTAATTCTCAATTTCTCCACCAGAACTCAGCTTTTATTCAATCAAAATATCATATTCGGAATCAGGATCGAAAACTGACTCAACTAATGTGTATTTCGAAACTTTTGGTTGATTTTCAGTTTTACGTGAAAATCTTAGTAATGAATGTTTCGACGTGAAAGTTCCAAAAATATTGAAGTAGTCAGATGGGATAGAAATGTGCATTGGTCGAATCAGTTTTCAATAGGATAGGTTCGACTACTTCAATAATTTTGGAACTTATACAGTTGAACGCACTGAACAAAATATGATATTTTTAAGATTTGACAGTCGGTTTTAGTGTTTTTAACAAATAAGTATTTTCAGTTACGACAAGCAGACTTGTTCTTTAAATCGATTATGTCAAGGATTTACTAAAAAACAGTAAAATAATGAAATAGTCCATGCTGTTGAGAATTTAGTCTACGATAAAATAATCTATTTGACACCGAGATAGCGATTGTGTTGAAAGAGGCTTTAGAATGAAAGCCACCAGAGTTACTCGTGAATAGAATTTTGTTAGAAACAAGTGATTAGTTAAGCACCTAATTAGTATTCTAAGCACGTATCAGTATTTATAGTAGTATAGGAAGTCCATCAATGTGAAACCTACCGCGGTATACAAAAGTATCGGCGCCAGAGACGAGATAGAGCATAAAAATATGATTTTTGGCGAAAATTGCGGATCTCTGTAGGGTCACTGTAATCTTGAAAATTATTTATTGAAAATCGCCGTTGATTTTCAGAAAGTCCTTATATGAAATCGCCAAGGATTTTCTATTTTATAGAAAATCGACATTGATTTTCTTTAAATAATTCCCAACAATCTTGAAAATCAATGTCGATTTTCTATAAAATAGAAAATCCTTAGCGATTTTATATATGGACTTGGAAATTATTTATAGAAAATCAATGTTGATTTTCTAAAAACTTGAAAATCCTCCTTGATTTTCTATAAAGTTAGAAAATCGGTGAGAATTTTCTATAAATTTGAAAATCCTAGGGAATTTTATAGTCGATTTTCTAGAAAATTGAAAGTAATACAAAATTATAGTATAGGTCATTTGAGAGCCGAGAAATCTTCCGTTTATTTTTAAAGCAACAACATAGCTGTATTATCGTTATTTCGTACCCATTTTTGTCTAATTTCTATTGCTTCCCTTATCTCTGCTCCCATAAATAGCGTAACGATTGTTTTTTTATTTGAAAGAGTAACTCAGAATCTAGACCCGGTGACAAAATAAACCGATACCCCATAATAGAACGACATGTCGGTCTATTTTGTCGTGCGTTTATATAAGATAATAAAGATTGACTGAATTCTGGCAAAAAGTATCCGTAGATATTTTATCTAGAAATCCGACCATATTCAATGTCCAGCCACTAAGCCTCGGAGACAATGATGATTTTTTCCCTAGAGACATAGAGAAATGGTGACATAAAGACGTAGGGATTGTCTACGCCTCTACGTCCTTACGCTTTTGCTTCTTTAATAGAGAAGTGGAGCGAAAAATCTGTTTGAAATTTTTCACTCGATATTCGACAGTATCGAAGTTTGAGCGAAAAATCCGACAGTGTCAAAAACTGACTGTCGAAAAGTAGAACTGTCGAACGAAGACAAATTCCCATAAAACGCCAGCTTAGAGATGTATTTGTAAAATATTAAATCTTTATAGTATAAAATCGTAATGTAGTCAGTGCAGTTTTCTAAAAACAACTTTAACTTCCACATTTCCACTTGTATATAAAAGTTAAAACTATCACCTTTAGAACTGATTTCTTTTCCTGGATCGAATAAGATGTGCGTCGGTTCACCGATACTCAAATGAGTATTAACAATTAAAGTAGACGCTGCTGCCATTGGTAGCTGATAATAGAAAAAATAAACTTAGTCATGACAAAGGAGAAGCACATGTACGAACCTAGTTAATTATGGAAATTCACTTTTGTTTATAAGCAAACAGACAATCAAAGACGACAAACTATGTTTCAACACTCATTTGTACGACAATGATACTGAACTACAATAAAATGATCTAAAAAGAAACTAGGTAAAGAAAAATATTCAGTGTCGTCCGTTTCGTTTCATTTGTTTGATGATACGTGAGTTACAAGCAGAGCTTGGTAACGTCTTAAGTATGAGTGACGTGCGACGAAAGGCGTTTACCTCCCCTCAAAATCTTCAAAAATTATATCTGACTCAAAATCCCCAATAATATCGTTAAATTCTAATGTTCAAAAATAATTTTTGCTGTAATGTACACAGTAGTGTCGACAAGAAGCAGAATTCAGCAACCACGAATTGCAGAAAGTGAAAATCTTGGACGTTCTTTAAGAGAGGGTCCGTCGGATAACCGACCTGTAAAACGAATGCAGCCGAAGCTAAACATTCTGTTTTTTGTTCTTAGTATTCTGGTTAGAAAGAGCTCATCGAATAACTGAGAAATCTATGATATCTCGCCTTCGTATGACCAATGCTGGTTTTAGACAGATGTATTCCATTATATCGACACCTCTCCGATACATCTCAGTGTGACAACGGATATGATAGATTTTTTAACGCTATGCTTTCGAAGACCAAGTACTATCCGGATATATCTCGATACCCATCTGTTACGGTGCATCGCGGTCACTTATTCATCGGCACGTACCGCGCTATAATTTTCATGGCGACATATAGGAGTGTGACAACGGATCAGATAATTTTTCTATCTGGATAATATCCGATACAGTGTTGTTCCAATATATCCTGATAAACTAGGTATCAGTTAGTAAACTGATACATCTTCTATACAAGGTGTCAGTAATTCGAATTTGCAGCAGTATTTTTTTTCTTTCATGGTCCGATGAAGTCCGTCGAGCTAAGTAAGAAAAAGTGGTTTTTAATTTTAAAAGCAATTCTTTTAAGGAAAAAACCTGAAACAATTCAAAGAGTCTTTCGACCCCTTCGGTTTTAAAATAAATCGAGTTTTTTCTTTTTCGTTCTTCTAACTCTTCCAAGCATCATACTCAGCATTTGCTGAATCCGAAAAAAAAACTTTCGAAAAGTTAGAAGAACGAAAAAGAAAAACATTCAAGTTTTTCAAGCAAAATATCTTGATGTAACACTGTGGTACGCAGTATCCTAACATTGCGTTTATTGCGGGAAGACTACAAGCACATGACTATTGGAACAGAAAAGATTGACTTAATCAGCTAGAACATAAATATAATCTCGATAAATGCTGCAACTAACTTGACACTCAAAGTATCGGTATTTAGCGCTATAACTTAAGAAGATGTATCAGGGTACAGTATACGTCGTCCGATAAACAGCATAGTTAACTCGATCAACAACATACATAGATGTATTATAACTCATCCATATCTAGATAGAAACAAGGTAAGGGTTTCTATTGCTATAAACGTGATCTTTCTGGCGGTAGGCAATGATTGATCGTTACAGTTAGCTATGTCTCTTATCGCGATCTACTTCAATATTTTTTGTCAAACCCTCTAATATCGAGTTATATCATCCGATAGTTGCTTAAAAAGTTTGCTTAAATTTGCTAAATTTGATTTACTATCGGCGAAATACTCCTTTTTTTAATGAAATTTTTCACGTTCTCGAGGTACATCACATTTTGTTCAGATGAAACAACGTCTCAAAGTTCTGGCTTGTCGTTTATATGCCATTTTGTAGAGAATTGACCGGAGAATCTTTTGGTAGTAGAATCAGTTCGACTGAGTCTAAGGAAGAGGAGAAAGATTTAAATTACTAACAGCGCAGTTATTTATGGCGCACCCGTTACATATAAGGAACAGCATCCGCACTGTAAAAAAATTGACAAATATTCAAGTCCATTATGAGATAACGTTTAACTGACACCTTCAGTATTGTCTAAACGATATCGTAAAAACTGTAAATTTCGCAGTACTGTTAGTACATTACACTGTTGCAGAGCTTGCGCTGTATAGTAGAATAGATAAAATAAAAGTAAATAGAAATAACACCTAACGAACCGAAAAATACTGGTTAAGATTACTTACTTAGAAAACTTTATGTATAATAAAGGTGAAGCTTGTTTTTTCTCACATGAATGCTAAATCTCCGTGCCGTCTAATACCAACTTTATTATTGAAAATCCCTACTTTCAATCTTACTCGAAAACAGCGATATTTAATTCAACAAATAGCCTTGTCGGTCTGAGAAAAAGTTCGTCAGTATCAACACGAAAGGTTATGGACATCTGGGACAGTCTCTCCGTAAGTCGGAATTCTAGAAATCCGAAATCAAGTGAGCGGATCTCCCGTTGATCGTACAGTTCCTTCAAGCAATTAATGAGTCATTCTGTAAATTCAAAATAATTCTCGCTTAAATCATACCTTCTCTGACTTCTGTTAAGTTTATTTTCTAACGTAAAACTGAATTCCTTTATCATTCTCGTGTACTTTACCAGCTTGAAGAAAGGAAAAAATAGTGTTTTTTACCTTTCGTGCTTTTTTCAAAGAAAACTCAAGAGGGTATTGTTAACAAAGAGCAAAATGACACTAGAAGTCAATAAAGCAAAAGAAGTCCGTCATTAAGCCCAGCCTCGAATTCAGGATGCTCAGCGTACGATGAAAAATTTCCGCTCAAGAAACATTTATCTAGTATATCATTCGATACATCTTTTTCCCTATATCATCAGTCGTATATTTATTTTGAGGAAAAACATTTTATAAAAGCATGATTTTGCGAGAAAGAGTCAGTTCTTTATGAGCATTCAAAGGTGATAAAAATAATCGTTTTTACAAAAATCTCTCGAGATCTTGCTCACTCTTGTCTCTACCCAATCCATAACACACGTAAAAGTTCCATCGTTCGATACGACTGGGAGTGCTGATTTGAACTTGCTAATTCTGATGCAGTTGTATATAGAAAAATGTCTCATAAATATGCTCATTTTCAGCTTTGCTCCCAATCCCGTGTTGTCCGAAATGTGCATCTTACGTTTCTCTTTCACATCTTAACTTGATGGTACTGTCAAGCACAACTTCGGGTAAAAGTTTGACTCTGTACTCCTTTTATGAATAAAATCAATCGATATCAGTGAGAATCTTTCACCGAAAACGACAATGCCGACCTCGTCCTTGATATCGAATGAAAGTACCCCACATCGTTCTGATATATGTCTAAAACAAAACAAAAATCAAAACAGTTTATACGAGAACCATTTCACTGTGTATCCGTCTGAATCTCTATGCTACACCAAATATGTAACATTATACTATGTACTTCACTTCTCGTCATTGTTTCTAGTAGGTGTACATCAGTTAACTAAACTAAAAACTCTTATTTTGTTAATGACTTATTCGAACTGTCCCACCGTGTGCATCAAACACAACACATCAATACCGTTGCAATGTTTTGAGCTGAAAAACATTTTTACCCCTGTAGAGAAATGCTTTTATTCATACAATCATTCTCACATGCTTCAGCACTAAAAGCCAGATTTTTTCGTTCTAACAAAGTTGAAATATCCAAGATAAGAAGAAAAGAGAAAGAGTCACATATGATTATTTTGTTATTATTTTGTTATTCCTATGCACATTTACAGGAACTTGTATTTACTTTTGTCGTACTGACGTTGTTGAAATACAATTAAAAAGAAACAACAATGATCGCACTACAAAAATAACTTTAAGCGAACACAACAGTAATACAGCGCGACAGGTGAATGTTAAATTGCAACAGTATCGTTATCTTAAAACAGACATGTGAAAGAGTAATAAATGACTGATTTTAAGGTTATTCGGCTCGATCGTCCCCTGACGGTTCTTATCGGGACACTTCTCACTCTAGGACACGTCTTATGGTACCGTGAATGCAAAAACTGAGCCTAAGACATTAGTTTTGATATATTCTGAGCTTTTCTGTCTCATTCTACAGATGTACCCTGGTTTTTTACAGTCATTTTTACTTATGTCATTAAGTCTTAGCTGCATTTCATCCATTGTTCACCTTTTTATTGGTCAATGTTGGAATGCTGTTGGATGATCAAAGCCAAAAAAATGTAGAAAATGAAGTTTTCAAATACCGGCAGAAAGCTTTTGGAAACCAATACTTAACTTCTTTTTACACATATAGTGATTAGAATGAAGTAGAAAAAATGTTCGATCTTTAAATTGTAAAAACTAGATAAGTTATAAATAGATCATTTCAACAGTTCCGCTCGTGTTTCAATAACTTTTCTGCCACTTTTAGATTTTAATTTGATCACTCTTCCCTTTCACTCTGTTATACTCAGGTTTTCATGAAAAATCTGTAAAGCACAGTTTTGGAAAAACGTGGTGGTAAGTTAGAGTAAAGAAAACCTCTTATATAAACGACATAATAATGTCGCATAACCCAAATACAATCATCGAATCACATAGAAAAATATTGATTTCGTGTTTTTTCACAATAATTTGGGTATGAAAAAGTTTGAAAATAATAAATTTTTGAAAATAGGCAAACATCAGTGAAATTCAAGCTCATTTACATATGCTCAATTTTTACCTGTAGTACGTTTTTTTATCTCTCAAACCTGTGTTTTCGTATATTTTATCAAAAAGTGATTATGAAATGTGACGATAACAAAGTGAATTTTATTAAATTAAAATGTAAAATGACAAAAAAGTTATTGAAATGCGAACAGATTCTGTAAAAGCAAACTCACATTTTAATGTGTAACGCTTTGAGGTCTATCCAATGATGGAAAAAGCTTTTGCTAAATTTTTGCTTTCACAGCTTCCTAAGTAATGTCCTAGAGTGAGACGCGGCCGGAAAGATCTGTTCAGGATTCGATTTGGATGTCGTCAGAGAATTAATTGCCGTTCAAATGCAAATACGACGTTTGTTGTTTGTAGAGAGGCAGGTGTAAAGTGGCGTCTTGTTTACATGATGATAAAAACTGTAGGTCTTCACCTCTTTTCTATCGGACGTTACTCGAAAACTGAGAACCACTGTATCACAAATGGGTGAATAATCTTTGTTTCGGAAAGAAGTTATTTGCTGGGTTTTGACATGCCGATATCGAATGTAGAATCCCGCTGACTTACGAGCGAACCTTCCCAGGCGTCCAATCGCTTTTTCCTTAAAATGTACATGATTGTGGGTAGTTGGCTGACCACGAATCTGATATCCGTTTCTGCTGCTAGACCTTTCTGTGGTGGGTTTCTGAAATTCCGAATGTCTGAAGACCTGCTGTGAACTTTCAGCTGAACGTATTTTGGCACTGACAGATTGTAGAGCACATTGAGTTACCCTAGTGAGAAAAAGTTTAAAACCAACGAACAAGTTTTAGCAGAGGCGGAAAAGTTTTATTTTCTAATCTAACAGGGAATCAAAATATTTCATGGTTTTAAACCCTAAAATTTTTTTGTCTGTGTGAAATAAAGCTTGTTCGTTGGTTTTGTAAATTTTCCGGCATAGGTAATTCAACATGCCTGGCGGTGTGGCACCACAATCCGGCAGTGCCACAATACGTTCAAGTGAAAGCTCATAGCGGGTTTTTGGACACCCGGATTTCCAAGACTCGCGACAGAAAGATCTAGCAACAGAAACGGATATCAGATTCGATCAGCACTCACAATCGTGTTTATTTTAAGGTAAAAGCTGTTGGACACTTGGGAAGGTTCCCTCGTTAGTTACATTCAGAAAACATTTGGGCAAATTACATAGCGAGTAGCTTCCATAATGAACTGACTCTATTAATGAGAATCTACACTGATGCACTATGTAATTTTTCGTTTGTAATAGCCAAAATCGATTTTTGCACTGAAACATATAATTTATTCTGAAATATATGCTACTTTCTAGTATCAATCATTTTGTCTGTGCACTTGTAGATGGCATGTCAGGGTAATCAAAGAATCATCAATCTGCAATATCCATCGAACACATCCAAAAAACACAAACAAGAAGAAGTTTTAGCGGTAAAAGAAGATCTTGAAACATTCTCCTTATTATGGCTTGATGCCTATGTTAATACTGCCGACAATCGAGAAGTACAGCAAAAATTACGCACAGTAATTAACTGTATAAAAACATTCGATTCTGTCGGGCCATGTCAAGAATATTTAGAACGTCAAGATGAAAATGAAAAGATTCTGTTGATTGTTAGTGGCAGTTACGGTAGGCAAATTGTATCCAAAATACATAATCTAAAACAAGTCACTGCTATTTACGTTTATTGTATGAATATAATCAGTCATTTAAAATGGACACGACAATTTAATAAAGTATTTTCATCATTTTTCTTTTGCTTTGAACAATTTGATTTGACCTTTTATTTTGGCTCTTGTAGGTCATGATGATAACAACAAGTTCGACTGAATTAATTGAAAAATTATCGCTCGATCAAAGGCAACGGGACAAAATAGAAGACTTAACTATGATACCCATCTCAATATCTCACCAACGTAAATCGACATCAAATTTTAATGGTGATTTCATGTGGTCACAACTATTTTTGGAAGTTTTATTACGAGTGAAACAAACGCCCGATGATCGACAAGTGCTAATTCAATTTTGTAAAGAAATCTATGTTGATAACGATATACAAACAAAAATTATTGATGAATTTGAACGAACCTATTGTCCTGAGAAAGCTCTTTGGTGGTATACACGTAATACATTTTTATTTAAAATGTTAAATAATGCTTTACGAACAAATAATATTGAAACACTCTTTTTATTTCGATTTTTTATTGAAGATTTATATAATCAATTAAAAAATTTACATCAAAATCAGTGTCATCAATCACAACTGACGAAAGTTTATCGTGTTCAATTATTATCAGTTGAAGAAATAAATATGGTTCAATCATCAATAGGAAATTATTTTTCAATAAATAAATTTTTATTAACAAGTACAAATGGAAATTTATCATCATCATTATCATCATTTATTACAAATTGTGATAATAATACATTACAACCAGTTATATTTGAAATTAATATTGATCAGTCGTCTAATATTGAATGTAAACCATTTGCTAATATAAGTAAATTAAGTTATTTTAAAGATGAAAATGAAATATTATTTTCAATTGGTACTATATTTCAAATAGAGAATGTTCAATGTAATGAACAAGATATTTGGATAATTAATCTTAATTTATGTGATGAAAATAATGATTCTAAATTAAAAATCCTACTTAATCAAATTCGTCAAGAATCAGATCTTGTTTCATTTGGTAAGAGATCATACTATAAGGGCATTCGGCTACGGGAAAAAGCACGTTTTTTAGTATGGCATACGCATTTTTTCGGCACCCAAAACTACCGGTTTAGTCTACTAGTAACGTTGTCATTTCGTAAAATTCAAAATGGCGAATGGATAAAGTAGTAAAGGGCAAAAAAGTCGAAATTCTGCCTGTATTTTTCAATTTTCTCCATCAGAACACACTTTTATTCGATAAAAATAACATATTCGGAGTCAGCGTCGAAAACTGAGTCGAATGGTATAGCTTTTTTTCTATCTGATCATCTTTGTATTTTTCGAATTTTCACGTCGAAAAATGACTGAGATTTTCAGCAAAAAATGAAAATCAACGAAAATTTTCGAAACATATATCATTCGACTCAGTTTTCGCCGCTGACTCCGAATATGATATTTTTATTGCATACAAGGGGTGTTCTGATGGAGAAAATTGAAAAGTACAGGCAAAATTCTGACTTTTTTGCCCTTTACTACACTAATGATGTCCTTTCTCAGCAGGAAAAGGAAAGCTTCTTAAATCCATACATTCTTTTGTTCACTGTTGGATGGTGATTCGAATGATGTATGATAGTTGAGGATAGCTCTTGAAACAAAATACTACATAGGTTTGAGAGAACCGGGTGTCAAAACGTCCCTGGACGAACTTAGTGTGTCCTGCTTGCAGACATCAGAACGATGAACTCGTGTCAAACCTACATTGATATACTCACTTTGTGATACTAAATCTGAATAGAATAGTTTCGAAAAATTAGAGTGAAAGAAAAATGGTCAAACGTTGATTTTTTCTATAACGGTCACTTTTTCACTTTTTGTGACTGTTGCGTTATTTTGAAGATTTCTCCTCCAAAACTTGATCAAAATTCGATGAAAAGGAGATATCCGGAATCAGCTCGACGAGCTCTACCCAACAATGTATATTTGAAGCACTAGGTGCTGCTTTTTCTGTCCGACAGAATGCAAGAGTGTTTTCCCCCCACCTCCCGTGTGTCCGATGGCTGGGCAACTCCAACTCCGTAGTTGAGGATTTTTCTGGTGGAGTTGGTGTTAGAGTTGAAGCTGACCTTGGCGGAGTTGGAGTTTAAATTTTAGTAGGTTGGAGTTGGGTTTTTGAATTTTTATTCTCAACTCCGTTTTGCATTTTTGGAAATATTCAATAGTTGTAAACTGATCTTCTAAACGACTGAGTGGCTGTATTCACGAGTGAATTCGGAACTTCTTTGCGCTTTCCTGCCGAAAAAAGCTCAAAAACGTCCAGAATCCTGCTAAAAACCGAAAATCTTCCGTAAAAAAGTGAAGCAACCGGAGTTGAACGGGAGTTGAGATTTTCGTTGAGGGAGTTGGAGTTGAAAAATTTTGGGCGGAGTTGGAGTTGTAGTTGTAGTTGGAAATTTGAAAATGGAGTTGGAGTTGAAAGTCAGCGGAGTTGCTCAGCCCTAACCTGTTCACATAGCAACCTACAAGGCGCCTAGCAATAGCTGCTGCCTATCCGTTTTTGCTGGATCCGTACTTCCCTCTTCTTCACGGACGTCCTTAATATATGGCCTCTAATTTATTATTAGATAAAATGGATCATTATGATAAAGCTGAAAAATATTTTAAATATTTATTAAAAAATGATAATTCTCAACAACATCTATGGTGTTATCAAAGTCTTGGAAATATTGCACATAATAAAGATAATTATAATATGGCCATTTATTATTATGAAAAAGCATTAGAAATTGCTAAAAAATTATCTTTAAATGATAAATATTTATCAAAATGTTATTATAATCTTGGTATTGTCTATTCAGCTAAAGGAGATATTGATAAAGCAATGGAATTTTATAAAAATTCTTATTTTAATAATGAAAAACATATTTCATCTACATCAAAATCATTATTAATTACTCGTTATTATAATAATTCATCATTATTAACACGTGATTCTGCCTTATTTTTATGGTATCAATTATTAACAAAATTAATGAAAGAATCATTTACAATAAAATTATTTAAATATGAAAAAAAAAATTGTAAACAAAATTCATTTCTATTTCGTTTAATAAATAAAGCAATAAAAACGCGTCATATTGAAAATTTATTTGAATTTCGTTATTCATTATTAGATTTACAAAATCAAATGTCAAATAAATATGATGGAATTACATATCATGGTACAAAAATGCATGAAGAAGAATTAAAAAAATATTTATCAAAATTAAATAATTTAATTTCATTTGGTGCTTTTTTATCAACATCTCGTGATAAAAATGTGGCTTTAACATTTACTCATATTCATTTATTAGAATATGAGTTTACAATGAAATCAATTTTATATGAAATTCATTCTGATCCAACTGTTGAAACAAAAACTATTATAAATGATGATGAAGTTATATTTGATATATCAACCGTATTTAAAATAGTTCAAATTAATATCAATAGTTCATTAATAACAATTGTTTTATATACAACTAATGAACATGAAGAATTAATTAATTATTATTATAATATTGCTAAAAAACAAATGTTTGTTAAAACATCAAAATTATTACTTGGACGTTTAATGTGTTATTTAGGTGAATATAAAAAAGCGGATATTTATGTAAAACAAATTTTTAATACATTATATGATGAACAAGAAAATATAGCCGCTTTTTATTATGATATAGCATCGAATTATTATTCTAATTCAGAATATAATGAAGCATTAAATAACTATACATTGTTACTAAAATATACTCATGATAATGGATTAATTAGTCAATCAATGAAATATATTGGTAATATTTATTTTGAATATAATAATTATTTAAAAGCTATTGAATTTTATAAACAATCTCTTGATATACAAATACAAATATTAAAACCAAATTTTTCATTTATAGCTAATTGTTATTCTGCATTAGGTATGCTCTATCAAAAATTGAATCATTTTGAACAAGCATTAAAAAATTATGAAAATGCATTGGAAATTTATGCAAAACAATTTGATGAAGAAGCACTTGCAAATTGTTGTTTGGACAAAGGATCAGTCTATGAAAAAATGGAACAATATGATTTAGCATTACATCAATATCAGAAAGCATTAGATATTAGAATTAAATTATTACCACCTACATATCAAGATATTGGCATCATTTATGAAAATATGGGACATGTATATCGTAGACAAAATCAAGACAAATTAGCTTTAGAATATTTTTTAAAAACGTTGTATACACAGAAAAAGAGTTTAGATTCGAATCATCCAGACATTGCACGAACTATATTTGATATCGATAGTATTTACCGTGAAAATAGTAAGGATAACCATCATTTTAGAAAGAGAAAAAAGGATTTGAGTATAAACTATAATAAATATAGGTTTTGCGGTCGAAATGACAGTAGAGAAAATTTTCTTTCTCTGAGAAGTCAGAAAAGCTAACTAGAACTGACGATATAAACGATATGGTTAAGTAAGATAAGCTAGAATTTTTGGTTGATCGAGGGAGAGAGATAAGGATGGAATAGAAAGAAGTAAAGCACAAGAGAACACTATGGAGATAACGCTATGAAGACTCGAACATGTGAACTTTGAATTTGAATTCAAAGAATTTACTTTTGGACTAAATTGTCCAAAAGTAAACTCTAAGGTGTTCGCATCCCGATCCTGTGCATTGCTAAAGTATGTTCTGCCTCCACTACTCATAATCCATACAGCTGATATTCTTCATCAATGACCAAAGTCTGTATACACTGTGATGAGTAAATAGCTAGGATATGAGAACTAGGTATGCACCGAGCTTCGAGTCACCCGAAAACTCTAACCGAGCTATCCGAAACTTAAAGTCTGTTTTTCTTCTGATGTGTGTTATTCTCAGGCCTCCATATTAAAGAGGATTCCACACTTTTATACTATTTTGCATGTTAACTTCATTTTACACTTTACGCAAGTAACCTGAACTCTTACGTCGCTTTAGTATCTTGCCATAAGAAAAATTTCGTTTTGCACTTAGAGTAAGTCATTTTCGATTTCGGATAATCGATGTTCGATCGAAATCAACAATGTCTTACTCTAAGTGCAAAACGAAATTTTTCTTATGGCAAGATACTAAAGCGACGTAAGAGTTCAGGTTACTTGCGTAAAGTGTAAAATGAAGTTAACATGCAAAATAGTGTAAGAGTGTGAAATCCTCTTTAATGTAAAGGCCTGAGAATAACATCTATCAGGAAAAAAACAGACTTTATTTTCGGGTAGCTCGACCCGGTGCATATCTAATGAGAACACAGCTTAAACTGAGAGAAGATCAGATAAGAAAAGCTAAGGTAAGGTAGAGTGACAGAAGTGAAGTTGAGAATACTAAAAGCAGGAATTTTCTTTCCTTCTAAGAAACACGACAAGGCGCTGCGTCGCCTAAGCGCGACAACGAGAGAAATGCTGTTTAGTCACTCACTCTCATAACACACTCCTCCTCCCTCGAAAAGGCTCCAAAATGTCTTTGCGTCCTAATATCAAGTACTGCACAGTGTACGTTGAAGTGACGTGAAATTTTCAGAATAAACTTAACTGCATAACTGGAGAACCTCGGTAGTGCCTCACCTTCTCTTACTTACCTTAGTCTGTCTTATCTTAACATGTCTTATCATAACTTGCCGTAAAAGGTTCGTGACGGTACCTTACCTTATCTTAATTTCTCTGGCTTATCTTACCTTAACGTCGTTATGTTACCACAAGCTAAGAATTCTCAGAGAAGTTTTTATATTTTCCAGTTCCACTTCCCGACAAAAAGAATTTTCTCTACCACGACCGAAAGAAAATATGAAAGGCAAACATATAAAAGATCGCCCTTTAGATCTTAAAAAGTGTATTTATTATAACTCTTTTCTAACTTAGCGGCTGTGTTCTAAAGACGCCGATTACAACTGTTCTCACTGTCGTCTTAGAGTAGAAAAGAAAGAGTTGCATTATCGAATAATTTTTCTATTTGTCTGTAATGCGAAAAGAAATCTATGTTTCTATTTACTTCTGCTAACGCAAGACCCAGAAAAACCCAATACAAATTTATTGATGTATTAATGATTGAGCATTTATTCTCAATCTCTTATTAACAACTCGATGCTCCAATGTCCGTAGTTTGTCAATCTTACCGATTTTCTCTTTTAGTTCAACAAAACTCAAGTGATCAGCCGAAAACAACTTCCTCAAAGACAACAGCAAGTACCACTGATATCGAAATGAAATATGGTACGACTCAAATCTCTATTATCTTCTTTTCTCACATTAAAATTCCGAAAACAAATTTGCCATACCTCAAACATTAAATAATAAATTACTTTTTAGATGATCCTGACACATGTGTTGAACAGCATGAAATATGTTGGTTAACAATCATTTTTTTACATTCAAAAAAGCTGACATTACACTTGAATGAATTATTTAACGATCAAAACAATCACGTTCGTTTTTTCGATGATCTACAAAATTGTTTTGAATCAATTCGTATGAATCCAAATCAAAAATTGATTATAATTCTCTCAGAATATTTTGCTTCATCTGATACATTACTTGAATTAGAGAAATTGGATCAGATACATTTGATTTATATTTGTTTAGATGATATATGTCAACTTGATTATTTCAAATTATTAGCACTAGACTATAAGAAAATACAACATGTAATCTGTGATAAAGACAACGACCTTGAATTTCATCTAACTGAAGATTTTTTAACCTTTTATCGACAGCTGGGTAATCAGTTCGCTCTTCAACATGACTATAGTCGAGCAGAGTATTGCTATAAACAAGCTCAAAAATATTTGCAATCACTTTCGGATAGAATGATTGTTGAGTAAATGACCAGGTCTCTATAATAACATTATTGTCACACCAATTATATGTACCGCTATACAAGCTAATATACAAGTCACTTGTGATCTACGGTTGTAAACAATGTACTCAAATATCGAAGAACGACAGTTAGAACAGACTACGGCGTAGATGGTAAATGATATCTGCTTTCTTACATGATCATCGTCTTCAAATCAATTAATATTAACTATTTTTCTCGAAGAAGTATCGATTTTTTTATGTGTGAATTGGTTAATAAACTGATGAACGGAGCTTGTAAATTCTTTTTCGGCCATTATCATAATTCTTGAATTGATTTAAAAGTGACAGAATTTCAGAGTTGTTAGAGTTTCAGAATCTCATGAATTTTAACACTGCTTACTTCACGAGAATGTTTCATTTATCAGAGTTGAATTTCGAGAAAAACTTTGGATGCGAAATTTCTTCTATTCTCATCCGATTGTTATCGAAGTTTCTCAATGGGTTCGTAGGAAATCCTTTTCTAAAAACGATTTAAACGTAACCATTTATTCATTTTTGTCTAAATTCTAGCACCATATAGAATAACTTGTGCTTTTGAAAGATACAGCCTTATTCTATCTATTTTTTTCTGAATCTTCTTTATGATAAAACATCTCTAGCGTGAAATTCAGCAAAAGACTCCTTTGTTTTTCTATACTTTTCCCTTGGTACAAGAGATATCTAGCTAAACCTACAATTTCACTTTACATTTGGTTCTCAATTCTTTACTTTTCTTCGAGAAAGCACTGGATAATAAAAGTAAATGAGTCTTTAACTTTTTTTCTTTTGTTCAAAAGGGGTAGTTTAGATTAAAATAAACAACACTCATATTTCTAAAAACTGACTTGATTGATTGAACATATATTTATTCATTCATTCGTCTACCTTTTAGGAGTTACTGCTTCGTAGGCACTGCAGAACCTAATTGTTTATCGCAAACATTTGAGATAGCCAAGATAAAAATTGTTTTTCCTCTATCTCTTCAAAAGCAGACTTACTTGATTTCCACTCTGGAGTATTCTTTTCGCTATCTGTTGAACTTGGGTAAAATTGATAAAGTACCACTACAGATATTAGACTGAGCAAACTGAGAGAAACAGAGCATGGAATAGCATATGCACTGACTGACTGTCTTTATTCGAAAACATTTTTTTTGTTTTGCAATATTCTTATGTTTTGATTTCATCAGTTAAACAACTTAAAATAAAAAGAAAGTTGATTGTCTTTATTTGACACAAAATGCATTGATTTTCGTTTCTATTTTCGAATGAAATGTTTTTTACCGAAACTAGTATTGCCTAAACAAAATATTAATCTAGTTCAAATTCGAAACCAAAACGATTTAAAATATCTTTAAATGATATTAATTCATAGCCAGATATCATAAATGTTTCATTTGTCAAACATCCCGTCCTGCTTATCTCAATTAATTCTTTACCATCCACATTATGCGTAAACCATGCTTCAACTAATTGATGAAACATTGTTCTTCGAAGCCATGCTTTAACATCGTCAACTGTTAAATATCTTAATAAATCTTTGACCGATTCTGAACGCGATTCACTTGAAGAAGATGAAGACGACGGGGTTTTATCTTTTTTATATACAAAATGAAAAAGAGGAGAAACAAATGGTAAAATAATACATGTTTTGTTACACACAATTAAAGTCAGATTACGAGTCACACTACTATCGTTGGAAGTCGCAATCAGCACTCAAGAGACTTACCATAATTCGTACATTACACGAAGAAGTTTCGAGAAGATAGTTTTTGAGAAGAGCGATAACTGAAAATAAATTACTAATCTCATAAAATGTATGATAACTAATCTCACTATTTCTGATTCTTATAGGATATAATATAGCAAATTGTATCATCGAAGCATTTAATCCCGGTTGCTAATCATCAGAGCAAAGACTCATATTCTTAGAATAACCATTGTAAGACTAGAATCTCACTTTTCGTGAATAAACTAGTCTTACTTAAATCTATTTTCTTCACTGCACCACTTCCCAAGTCTTAATGGCTTCGTCTAATAACCATTGTATTTTAAATAATTTTTTGCTTCTTTTTCTTTTCTGTAGTGCATTTGAAGAAAAATTCGACTTCTAAATTTGGACAAGTTGAAACAAAAATTAAACCAAGAGGTTTTAATTCAGTTTGTCTCGAATTTTTTTTGAGGAGTAAAAGATGTACAATTTTGAACTTCTTCCTCTCTGACTCCCATAAAAATATCTTTCCACTCTTTGAAATTGTCTCTTTATCTCAGTATTTGGTAACAAATGACAGCTTTAACCACATTCAGATCTGGTTCAATGTCGACTCCCTAGAGAAAGTACTGAGTTCAAGGTACTCATGTACTGAGAAAGCCTCAGCAAGGTACCCGATATGGGTACTTCGAAAATTCTTAGTAATTATACTAATGTAGGTACTGCATTGGGTACCCATAGC